ACAGGGAGAAGATTGTGGCCACACTCGGCCGAACGTTGACAGGGAGAAGATTGTGGCCACACTCGGCCCAAGGTTGACAGGGAGAAGATTGTGGCCACACTCGGCCGAACGTTGACAGGGAGAAGATTGTGGCCACACTCGGCTCAAGGTTGACAGGGAGAAGATTGTGGCCACACTCGGCTCAAGGTTGACATGGAGAAGATTGTGGTCACTCTCGGCTCAAGGTTGACAGGGAGAAGATTGTGGTCACACTCGGCAGAAGGTTGACAGGGAGAAGATTGTGGTCAAACTCGGCCCAAGGTTGACAGGGAGAAGATTGTGGTCACACTCGGCAGAAGGTTGACAGGGAGAAGATTGTGGTCAAACTCGGCCCAAGGTTGACAGGGAGAAGATTGTGGTCAAACTCGGCAGAAGGTTGACAGGGAGAAGATTGTGGTCAAACTCGGCAGAAGGTTGGCAGGGAGAAGATTGTGGCCACACTCGGCCCAAGGTTGACAGGGCGAAGACTGTGGCCACACTCGGCCCAAGATTGACAGGGAGAAGATTGTGGTCACACTCGGCAGAAGGTTGACAGGGAGAAGATTGTGGTCACACTCGGCAGAAGGTTGACAGGGAGAAGATTGTGGTCACACTCGGCAGAAGGTTGACAGGGCGAAGATTGTGGCCACACTCGGCAGAAGGTTGACAGGGAGAAGATTGTGGTCACACTCGGCAGAAGGGGCACAAAGTTAGCTGTATGCTAGAAAAAGAGCCAGGTGGTGACTTGAAATTACGACCCTCACAAAGAACCTGGTTAGCGACATCAGAAGCGGCCAGACCACATCTTCTTTCACATCGACAGAGCCTTCGGTAAACAGGTTTCACATAGAACCCTCTCGTACCCTAAGTAAACTATGTGTTTGTTGAGTGTGAAATGCACCAGATAAACGCAAGAGACAAGTACGTAGAACATAACGTTAGTTACATATCATCTACAAGGAAGTGGTAAAAGTAACGCAGAACACTAACAAACAACTCAACAACAACGAATCACAACTCAACAACAAATCAGGTGACTGCTCGAAAACACCCCCCTCAGCCATAGCGTGTCATATTTAGGACTCTTGACAGATTGTGGACAAGGAAAATGCATTTCCAATTGTTTACACTTTAGCAAACAGAAAAATTGTGGAATCGGCCGCAGAAAACCTGTATAGTCCAGAATTATGCAGACAAAAGGACATGCTCTTTACCTTCCGTTTACCCGGGTGAAACACAGTTTCTGAATTTAGTGGAGTTTGTGTTTCATTTCGAATGATTCATCTTTTTGCTTTATTTTAATCAATTGTTACTGTAGTATGCATCTGATGAGATACAGAGAAATATACCAGGCAATAAATTGGGCCATCTTAGGTTTGTGTCTTTTTGTTTGTTAAATTCAAAACAGAGAATATTTTTTTAATGTTTTGTTTTGTTATGTTACTTTGCTCGCCTCTTGATTCGAGAAATGTGTTTGATTCTCTCGTTAAGCTCTTTATAAATAATTCCGAAACATGACTTTGGTCATTCTATTACATGCAGATACCAGGTAATGAAAGTGTCTAGTAACTGTTTTAGCCTTTCTTCGTGTATCTGCTTCAAAAAACACCATTGACTTGACGTTAGGGCTAACAATCTTTAGTTTGGTTCGAGATTTAATTTATTTGAGAATAGGATCAACGGAAACTAAACATACTCATGGGAGCTACAGTTACCAGCACGACAGAGGCGAGAGGTTGGGTGAGTTCAATGCCAGAGGCGAGAGGTTGGGGGAGTTCAAGGACAGAGGCGAGAGTTTTGGAGAGTTCAAGGACACAGGATATTTTTTTGGGTGAGTTCAAGGACAGGAGCAAGAGGTTGGGTGACTTCAAAGACAGGGGCGAGATGTTGGGTGAGTTTAACGACAGGGGCGAGAGTTTGGGTGAGTCTAAGGACACAGGCGAGAGGTTGGGTGAGTTTAAGGACAGGGGCAAGAGGTTGGGTGAGTTAAAGGACAGAGGCGAGAGGTTGGGTGAGTCAAAGGACAGAGGCGAGAGGTTGGGTGAGTCTAAGGACACAGGCGAGAGGTTGGGTGAGTCAAAGGACAGAGGCGAGAGGTTGGGTCAGTCTAAGGACAAAGGCGAGAGGTTGGGTGAGTCTAAGGACAAAGGCGAGAGGTTGGGTAAGTCTAAGGACAGAGGCGAGAGGTTGGGTGAGTTCCAGGAGAGAATAAGGATACAGCAAGAGATATTTCTGGAGCCTGAAGCTGGCATAGAGGACGTTAGAGGTATAATAATCGATAATGGAAAAGGGGAGACTGGATAATGGTCGGGAGTGGAAAAGGGAAGACAAGAAAATGGTCGGGAGTTAAACAGGGGAGATGAGAGAATGGGGCTGAGTGGTCTCTAGGCTTGGCGTCGGCCTCGAGTACTGGAGGTCCCGTGTTTAGGCCACAGTGTAGGCTTGGGTTTATTTAACGTGGAATATAGTAATTTCGCTAGGTCTCTGGGTAGTAAGATGGGACGCCTGTGTGTATTGTTGTGCACGTTAAAAAAAAAAACCTGGCAGATGAAAATAGAAAAAAAGTAGCCCAACGCCGCTGCCCGGGCAAAATTTGGAGATAAAAAGCTACCCAAAGTATTCCAGGATCCTCGCCGGTGCTACGGAGTTCCTGCACTGCGCTGATATTCTTCGGACTCAGACTAGAGTTTAAGGTAGAATTTAGCACTTATGTGTTACTACCCTTGTGCCATGATGTTGATCCGTTGCTGAAAACAAAACCAACCATGGAATTTTTGGGAGTGAAACAGAGGAGACAAGAGAACTGTCGGGAGTGGAAGAGGGGAGACAAGAGAACGGTCGTGAGTGAAGAAGGGTAGACAAGAGAACTGTGGGGAGTGGAAAAGGGGAGACAAGAGTGGAAGAGGGAAGACAAGAGAACGGTCGAGAGTGGAAGGGGGGAGACAAGAGAATGGGCAGGGGTGGAAGAGGGGAGACAAGAGAATGAATATTAGTGGCAAAGAGGAGACAAGAACATATTCGGCAGTGGCAGAGGGGAGACAAGAAAATGTTCGGGAGTGGCAGAGAGGAGACCAGAGAGAATGCCCAGAAGTGGAAGAGTGGAGGCCGGAAACGCTGACATCTAATCTAACATGTGGGTAAGGATCCAATCGTAGAAGTGCGGTACGAAGCCAAAGATGCTGGGGAAGCGGCCGGTACAAGACCGGACCCCATAGCTGGACACGCCCACGAGAACGCCATCGCACACCAGGGGGCCGCCGCTGTCACCGTTGCAGGCCGCCTTGGGCGTCTCAAAGACACAGATGTGGTGGTCGAAGATCTCGGCGTTGGTGATGTTGCTCATCTTGTCGGTGCAGTCGTCGGCGCTGATCACGTTGATGGTTGTCTGTGGGTGGAGAGAAGGAGGCTGCAGTCAGTCACCGGGTTTCACATAAGACGGTTAGTGGGGGAGGGTGAGGTGTTTTAGAAGAGATGCAGTTAGTGGTGAGGTTTTACACGTAACAGACAGACAGACAGACAGACAGACAGACAGACAGACAGACAGACAGACAGACAGACAGACAGACAGACAGACAGACAGACAGACAGACAGACAGACAGACAGACAGACAGACAGACAGACAGACAGACAGACAGAGAGATGGACGGACGGACAGACAGACAGACAGACGAACAGAGAGACGGACGGATGTACAGACAGACAGACAGGCAGAAGGACGGACGGATGTACAGACAGACAGACAGACAGACAGACAGACAGACAGACAGACAGACAGACAGACAGACAGACAGACAGACAGACAGACAGACAGACAGACAGACGCTTATTTTGTGAATCAAAAGGAGGAGAGAAATAACACTTACGCATACAGACGGAACGAACTAAAGTAGAAGCGAACTATCTGTATTATAAAAGGGTTAAGAAATGGGCACTCAGACCTGTTTAATATGGTGCCCTCGTGGTCTTATCCCTGTCATCGGTTATTTCATTGATACATCTTTCCACATGCAATAAATAACACAGCTGACAACAACTACATGTCAGTGGCAAACACTAGCAGGCACTCTAAGCGATCACAGATCTTAGTACATTAGCTACATGTCAGTGGCAAACACTGGCAGGCACTCTAAGCAATCATAAATCTTAGCACAGTAGCTACATGCCAGTGACAAACACTAGCAGACACTCTAAGCAATCACAGATCTTAGTACATTAGCTACATGTCAGTGACAAACACTAGCAGGCACTCTAAACAATCACAGATCTTAGTACAGTAGCTACATGTCAGTGACAAACACTGGCAGGCACTCTAAGCAATCACAGATCTTAGTACAGTAGCTACATGTCAGTGACAAACACCGACAAGCACTCTAAGCAATCACAGATCTTAGTACAGTAGCTACATGTCAGTGACAAACACTAGCAGGCACTCTAAGCAATCATAGATCTTAGTACAGTAGCTACATGTCAGGGACAAACACTGGCAGGCACTCTAAGCAATCACAGATCTTAGTACAGTAGCTACATGTCAGTGACAAACACTGACAGGCACTCTAAGCAATCACAGATCCTAGTACAGTAGCTACATGTCAGTGACAAACACTGACAGGCACTCTAAGCAATCACAGATCTTAGTACAGTAGCTACATGTCAGTGACAAACACTGGCAGGCACTCTAAGCAATCACAGATCTTAGTACAGTAGCTACATGTCAGTGACAAACACTGGCAGGCACTCTAAGCAACCACAGATCTTAGTACAGTAGCTACATGCCAGTGACAAACACTGGCAGGCACTCTAAGCAATCACAGATCGTAGTACAGTAGCTACATGTCAGTGACAAGCACTGGCAGGCACTCTAAGCAATCACAGATCCTAGTACAGTAGCTACATGTCAGTGAAAAACACTGACAGGCACTCTAAGCAATCACAGATCTTAGTACAGTAGCTACATGTCAGTGACAAACACTGGCAGGCACTCTAAGCAATCACAGATCTTAGTACAGTAGCTACATGTCAGTGACAAACACTGGCAGGCACTCTAAGCAACCACAGATCGTAGTACAGTAGCTACTTGTCAGTGACAAACACTGCAGGCACTCCTAAGCAATCACAGATCTTATTACACAATAGCTACATGTCAGTGACAAACACTGGCAGGCACTCTAAGCAATCACAGATCTTAGTACAATAGCTACATGCCAGTGACAAACACTGACAGGCACTCTAAGCAATCACAGATCTTAGTACAGTAGCTACATGTCAGTGACAAACACTGGCAGGCACTCTAAGCAATCACAGATCTTAGTACAGTAGCTACATGTCAGTGACAAACACTGGCAGGCACTCTAAGCAACCACAGATCTTAGTACAGTAGCTACATGCCAGTGACAAACACTGGCAGGTACTCTAAGCAATCGCAGATCTTAGTACAGTAGCTACATGTCAGTGACAAACATTGGCAGGCACTCTAAGCAATCACAAATCTTAGTACAGTAGCTACATGTCAGTGACAAACACTAGCAGGCACTCTAAGCAATCACAGATCTTAGTACAGTAGCTACATGTCAGTGACAAACACTGGCAGGCACTCTAAGCAATCACAGATCTTAGTACAGTAGCTACATGTCAGTGACAAACATTGGCAGGCACTCTAAGCAATCACAAATCTTAGTAAAGTAGCTACAATACATTGAGGGGAAATAAGCGAAATGGTTGAAACAGTGATGACGTCTGGTCAGTTCGGGAGAGGAAATCACATGATAATTTACTGCTCATCACTTGGCTGTTGAGAATGTGCGTACACAGCTAGCATTGTAGTATTTGAGCTAATAACTGGTAGCTTTCCCAATTTCTGTGACAATATTGTGTCATCAAGCGTTGTTTTAGATACGTTTCAGTGGTAAACAGAAAAGCGTATGTGTAATAAACAGTAAACAGTACTAACGAATAGTAACGAGCAATAAAAAAAAAGGGAAAAAAAATTTGACTTGCTTATGGAAAGTGTAAGCGGCATGTACACCAGGCCACTGGTTGAAATTCTTTAGTCTGTTAAGACAGCATGTTCTCTGTTGTTTCTCAAAATCTATATAGGGGGTAATTGGATGTTTGGTTCGTTGTGGAAGATGGTTCTAAGTTAAACTGTGGAGTACACTAAACGTGTTTTCGGAATCAGTCAATGCGTCTTCATCTTGAAATCTAGGCCTGACAATTTCGAGTGGATCAGTCACAGTCACGATGACAGACATCTATGTAGAATGAGAGAGAGAGAATCAACCATCATGGCAGGCATGACTGACTGACTGACAGACAGAGAGGCATCAAGTCAGACAGCCAGCCAGACTTGACTTTCCAACAATGAACCAAAGGATCAGGATGTGGAGGGCTCGGGCATACTTCAAAATATGTGCTGATAAGAAACACCCACTGCATCAAGCGCTTTTTAGTGAAAAGGGCAACAGACTGAAGAGGGGAAAATCGTGGCTAGGTAGGGCAGAAGATGTTATTAGGCAAATATGCAGCCTAACCGACATCATACCTGGTGCAGAATGGATACCTGTGGCCTCAGGCGTTTATTTGTACATTTTCCTGTATTGACACACTCAACAGGCGATGTAGAGAAGAGAATCCTGTTGCTGTTAATACAGAGGTCAACGCTCTCATCGGTGAAAATTCAGACGAAGCAGATGCAATAATCTACACAGACGGATCCGTTTATACGCCAAAGAAGAAGCGCATGGGCATTTACAGCACGCTCAGCGGGCAGAACAGTCAAAGAAGCCAACGGCGCCTTCTCCATGACAACCAGCAGCATGACGATGGAGGTGATGACAGTGACGCAAGCGCTTGCCTGGCTTGAAACACAAAACTACACCCGCGTATGTATAATCAGTGATTCAAGAGTATGATCCGGAGGGTTTCCGGCCCAGGTTCAGAGCGAAGACAATGGCTTGAATCATTACAGAAGTCCACTGTGCGAGGAGTCACCTTTATTTTTTGTTCCGGGACACGCAGGCGTCGATGGAAATGAAAGAGCTGACAGGTTGGCTGGATCCGCTATCACTATCGACGGTCAGCCTATGGATCATGCTGATATTATCAATGCCCTCGGAGAAATGGGAAGGATAGAAGACTTTGGTGGCAATGAATCCACATCACTCGCCAGAATGGCAGACTTGGGAATTAAGATCGGTATAGCAAAAAGCGAGACGCACACCAGCTACGCCAGAAGACTTGTTAATCACATAGACTGGTACTATTAGCCATCGGACGTTGGGGGTTCATACTGAGTGGAGGATCTGAGCACCTATGGACATGTCCGGAGGTGCAATGATGATAACTAACTAACTAACTAACTAACTAACTAACTAAATATAACTAACTAAATAAACTAACTAACTAACTAACTAACTAACTAACTAACTAACTAACTAACTAAACTAACTAGCTAACTAACTAACTAAGCCAGACAGACAAGTAGACAGACCGACAGTGAGACGGTTAGACAGACAGACGGGTGTTATACCTGCCTGAGCACGCCGTCGATCCCCCCGATCATGTGACCCCAGCCAGAGATAACACATCCGGTCATGTTCTCCGACTTGAGGGTCGTCACTGGAGCTAGAGGCGCCGTCTTCACAGCCTGGGTGATGCTGGCGTTACTGGCCAGGGTGACGATGGCGATGTCGTTGGGGAAGCCCGCTTGCCGTGGAAGGTAGCCGCTGGGGGGATACAGACACAATGTGAACATCAACAACTGATATCTTCTTGCGGACATCAACAACCCATATCACTTTGGGGACATCAACAACCCATATCACGTTGGGGACATCAACAACTGATATCACCTTGTGAACATCAACAACTGATATCACCTTGTGAACATCAACAACCATATCATCTTGTGAACATCAACAACTGATATCACCTTGTGAACATCAACAACTGATATCATCTTGTGAAGATCAACAAAGATATCACCGGGTTGTGGGGCATCAAAAAACCGATATCAC